CAAGTAAATAATTATAGGCTCAAATATAAATTTCAAATATTTACATATTTCTGAGCAAAGTATTTGCTTACAGACTAATGAAAAATTGATCTATATTTACATATTTTGAGCCAATTATCTGCTTACAGACTTATATATAATTTATCTATAGTTACATATTTTTGAGCCAAGTATTTGCTTGCGGATTTAAATATAATTGAGCTATATTTACATATATTTGAGCCATGTATTTGCTTACAGTCTTAAATATAATTGATCTATAGAGACATATTTTGAGCCAAGTATTTGCTTACAGACTTAAAGGTAATTGATCTATATTTACATACTTTTGATCCAAGTATTTGCCTACACACTGAAATGTAATTGATCTATATTTACATATTTTTGAGCCAAGTATTTGCTTACAGTCTTAAATGTAATATAAAATAGAAAAATAAAGAAAATGGAAAGAGAGAAAAATAACAAAAACAATGGAAAGAGAAAAATAAAAAAAAAAGAGGAAAAAGACCCTACAGTGCCTGGTTTGCCAAACGGTCACCTATCTAGATACTGACCTGGTTCGACGTGGCTTAACTTCAACAACGAGAAAACTAGGAATTGCATTGGAAAGTCTTGACCTTTTCCAAAATGTGACCAAGTTACTAACTGTTAAATTTTTTTTTTGATCCCTTTTTAGTTGAACCGAGAACTTTTCAGCAACCAATCATAGATAAAGAGAGTAAAGTCACAAGAGAGAGAGAGAGAGAGAGAGAGAGAGAGAGAGAGAGAGAGAGAGAGAGAGGTGGGAGGAGTGTTTAGAAAGGAGAAATCGAAAGAGAAAACCTATGATATGCATGTCTGATCTCTTGATACTTTTATTGACGGAAAGATCTAGACGATAAGTGGGAGGTGAACTTTAGCCGATGACGTCACATGCAGTTACTTTGCCTTTTGGGATATTTTTGTCACTTTGGGGGAATCGGATATTGTTTATAAAAGTTAAAATTAAAACCAGTTGGGCGCAGAGGAGAGAAGGAACGAAAGACGAAAGGAATAGGAGTCGCCTAATTTTAGTCACCAGACATTGCCAAAAATAGAACGTTAAAAAAAAAAATCCTTCAAATAGTTCCATTCAAAACATTCAATACGAGGCATCGACGTCGACTTTTTTTGATGAGATCAATTTTCTTTAAGTGTGACTATTTATTCTTTATTTTGATTGAGGCGAATTAATTAAATGTTGGTGTATGGCAGGAAAGATATTTTAAATTGAAAAGAAGGAAATATAAGAAGGTTTGGTTGGCTTGGGAGTCAGATTACTTCGAACTGAAGAATACATCTGTGTTCAAATATAGAGAGAAAAGGTGTGCCAATGATGTCAAAGAAAAGAATCTTTTTCCCAACAGAGTCCATTTCTTTTTGAATCCACCTTCATTAAGCTCTATTTATTCGGGGGGGGGGAATTGAAGACTTTGCGTGCCATTAGATACTAATAAATTCAGTTTGAGCAAAGGGAACTAAGTTATCACACTCACTCTAATTCTCTTATTTCTCTCTCCCCCACTCTCTGTTTCTCTGTCTCTATCTCTTGATATATAATATTTATTATTAATAAACTACTTTGGCATTTTTAAAGAAATACGCACACACGAAACATGTATTATAGAGGGATTGCTGCTGAAATTGGGCATATATATATATATATATATATATATATATATATATATATATATATGTGTGTGTGTGTGTGTGTGTGTGTGTGTGTGTGTGTGTATACTAGCAGTAGAGACCGGCGTTGCCCAGGGATGTAACAGTAAGAGATAGATCAAGTATCGACCATCATAAAGACTGAAAAATAAAAATTGACAAAGATTATTGTTTAAGGTTGACGGACACGCATGTCTTAATTAGTATTTTTGTTTATTTTTTTTTTTTTTTACGAATTGGTCAAACCCAAACTCAAGCAAAAACATTGTTTTCAATCGTTATGAGTCTATCGATTGAATAGAATTTTATTATAAACAATTGTCTCGTAAATCGAATTTTTAAAGCATTCTGAATGTAAAAATAAAGAAAAAAGTGTGCAAGACAATAAGAAACACTACCTGCCAAAAAAGTTTTGTTGAAATCGGTTGAAAAATGTAGGAAATTCGATCTCGTATATATAAACGAACACACACACATACACACACACAAACAAACAACCTGAGTTTTTATAATAAGTATAACTCGATATGAGTTGTCCCCCTTTCATTCTGGCGACAGAATCGTGTTTTATCGTGTTTTCAAATTGATTTCGTGCAAAAACAATTGTGTTTTTCCAAGAGCCACAGCAAGGTAATTTTACGCAGTCCTGTGAAGTTTTGTTGAAATCGGTTGAAAAATGTAGGAAAAACGATCCAATATATAAACGTACAGACACACACATAATCTGCGTTTTATAATAAGTAAGATATATATATATATATATATATATATATATATATATATATATATATATATATATACAGCATATATATGTATATATATAACAGAGATAATATATATATATATATATATGATGCGAAGTGTAAATTGTCGCCCTTTTATATTTTTAATTTCGTGCGTGTGCGTTATTTTGATGTTTATTTATTTGTTTTTTTTCTACTGAACATTATAGTAGGGTCTGTTGGGCACTGTCTGTGAGAAAAACAGCACCATGATATAATTCACTCGGCCATAATTTTGGAAACGGCATGCTGCACTGTTTGGCATTCGCGCGGGAAGATCCAATATTTAGGATTTTAACATTTCAGAGCGTTTGGCTGTCAATCTGAGGACAGTGCAAAGAATTTGGAAAAAACTGGATGGTATATCCAGTCAACATCATAGTGATTGGAGTGATCACTAGTGATGGTGATGTTAAGCTTTCAATTTTCTTGCCATAGTGTCTCAGACTTAACATGGAGGCCTACATCAATTGCCGTGAGAAGACAGTGCTACTCTTAGCCAAGAGGGTAGCTGCTGGAAAACCCGATGTTTGGCAAAAGGACTCAGCACCATGCCACACAAGCAGGAGATCCCAGGAGATGGGTGTTAGACAATTTCTACAATCACATCACCCCTCACATCTGGCCACGTCACTCCCCAGACTTGTTACCTCTTTTTTATTATTTGTGAAGTGCAGTTGAGCGTGAGACCAATAAAACTCCTTGCAACATCAAAGACGAACTGAAGGCAAAGATTATGGAAGCGTTCAACAACTTAAACAAGTAGACCGCTCAGAAGAGATGCAGAGGATCCTTAAGTCGTCTGGCGGCCGGCGTTGACACCAATAAATTTACACGTATTTTGTATTTAGTTATGTATTCCAAGATATTTTTGTCCAATTTTTGGTAAATATATATGTTAAATGTGATGTCAGTGTTATTTTCATTTTTACGTCATTTAAACGACAATTTATCTATCGCACCCTGTGTGTGTGTGTGTGTATATGTGTGTGTGTGTGTGTGTGTGTATATATATATATATATATATATATATATATATATATATATATATATATATATATATATATATACGTCTAAATTTGAATGAAACCTGTCGTGTAATTGATTGGGGTTGTTGTAACTTTTTCCTTTAATGTCGTTCTTATCATTCACCCCTTAGCCATCTATATCTAGAGACGAGACGCGTCAAATTTGAGCAACATCTAGCCGACACACTGGGGTTAAAAATAGGAAACTGAAATGATACATATGACACACTTATATCCTCTCTCCCACCTCACTTCCTCACTTCGTTAATTTTACGTATACTTGATGAGGTCCGTCAAAAATGTGTGAATTTCTTTTCATTTTTCATTTCAGCTTTTGGAAGTAAAGTCTGATGATCCAGAACCCTGTTAAAGGGGTTATGGTGAAATAGCTTATTACATGGAATCTTAACGTGGTCTGTCTTTTATTCAAATTTGTACTGGGAAATCACGAAGGAAGTGACCAGTACAACAGAAATTTGATTGGACAAAAAGATGCTAAGAATACGATAAAGAATTCATGTGCCCAACGAGGAATTCTTGAGGAAAATGGAAACAAAAAGGACATTTATATGTCGAATCAGAAAAAGAAAGTTGGAATTTATTGAACACATAATGAAGAAAGAAAGCTCAAAGAATTTGGCACAGGACGTATTGCAAACAAAAGAGGTTGAGAGAAACAGTGCGTATAGGAAGTTGTGGAGTGCCATGATCGACCATATCCTCACGACACATAACAGAAGAATATCTTGGATAGTCTTGGTTATTTAAAATTACAGAATCACGCATGAGGTATCCATGTTCATTGACGCAAATGCACACAAATTTTTACACCTAGACATACTTTCACACGCACACACACTCTCTCAGATACACACATACATTCACAGGTACACTCACTTTCTCATATTCTCCCGCACACATACATCCATAAATACGCACATTGACTCACACACACACATACACTCTCGCACTTACATATATACAAAGATGAACGCACGTAGAGACGTAGACATACAAGCCCCGCATCTACGCGTGTAAATTTGAGTGTACCCCGGTAAAACGATCGGCCATCTCATGTTTTCAAGTGTCCATGACAAACCCCCGAAAACTTCATATGATCTGATTTTTGTAATTTAGCGCTGAAGCGTGAGCAATTTAAGACACCTTTCTTTCTATGGTGACGTCATAAAAAAACAAGAAATTGAGAAATATTGTGCCTGTTGTGAGGTTAAAAGGCCAGGAAAAGGCTTTGGAGTGGAGGTGTTAATACGGGTGGGGTACCCAACCCCTGGATTAAAATCAGGTAAAGTGTGATGACGAACAGGATAAAAAAGACGAAGATTGCCTCGCTCCGTGTGTTTTTTTTTTTTTGTTTTTTTTTTTGTCTTTCCTTTTTTTTCTTTTTTTAATGAGTATAGGTGGCGTGGGGGGGTCCAACCCATTTTTTTTTACTGGGGATTTCCTTGGTTGAACGATTTGATTCTTTTCAAACGAAATTAGCTCCATGAGATTTTCGGAAACTCCCTATGGATACAGCATTTCCTTCTCTCTCTCTCTCTCTCTCTCTCTCTCTCTCTCTCTCTCTCTCTCTCCTTTACATATTGCTCCTACATTGACTCATCGTCATCACGACTTCAACAACAATTAATTCTAGGACTACTAGTATTTTTTAGTCCGGTTTTTCTCGTTCTATTATTATTATTATTATTTGTTTATCCATGCAATAAATGACGGTGTTTTAAATATATTTTTATAATGATACTTTTCTGTACTCTTTCAAGAAGTCGTTTTTTTGCATATCCTAATTTTGTAAACATCTCTCAGTGCAAGGAGTATAACTCATTCGAGTATCTGTCTATATTTCTGAGATGAGGAATTATGTACACTATTTACATCGTTCTCATCTTTGTTGCCATACTTACCACAACGTTCCGGCCGTTGTACGCTCCGGTTCTCTTCAGATGGTTGGAATTAATTTCTTGGACTTCTAATGTCTTCAGCAACCATTTTTACCAGTGCTCATATTGCAAATTTTGCTGTTATCATTGCATCCCTCTGTGGGTCCAGGTTGAAATCATAGACAAAGAACATCACTGGAAAATTCGTAAAATTAAGGAATCAGCACATATGCTAGATCACAAAAATCTCCAACAAAGCATAGAAATGAATACAATATGGGAATCCGTAATAAGGAGGACCAGAGAAAAGCAATAATAACAACGAAAATTGCAATGTGGGCTCTGATAAAAAAGATGCAATGATAACAGTAAAAACTGCAATATGAGCAGTGGTAAAAAAAATGTTACTGAAGACATTGTGTTTATAATACCCAGAAATTCATACACAGTCCCTACATTTTCATATGTTATCTGAGAGAGTGCCTAAATCAACTCTGGGGTGGTTATTTATATATCCATCTATCCAAAATTATCGTTATACGCTTACAATACCGGATGTAGGTGTGAGATCATGGACTTCTTCATTCGATGACAGGGAGATTCCTTTGAGTATCTGGTGTGAAATCTGAGTGCAATGTCTATTCCGACATAATACCACATCAAAACTCCAGAACTCAGTACAATAAGCACTTCCCCGGTCGAATCTATAATTCTTTAAATCTTTTTTAGAATATTCATCGAGATTAATTTGATTGTCACCAGTTTCAAATATTATAATTATTTTTTCAATCATTTCACCCCAAGCAAGGCGGGAATGCCGCTACTATGCAGGGAGTTATAAAGAGTGAAAGTGAGAGAATAGACTGGGTATAGAGGGGATTGAGGTAAAGATAAAAGATTAATGGGTTTAAAGAAGATGGCGATTGACGTTGCATTTAAATTTTTGAAGATTGTAGTTATCAGGGAATAAAATAAGTGGAAAGTAATTCCACTGTCGGGAAGTGCGAAAAAATAAACTGTTAGAGTAGAAGTGGCGTTTACATTTAAATATTTCAACAATAAAAGGAGTGGGACCTAAATGCCAATCTAGTAGCACGCTTAAATTCATGTAGTATGAGCACCAGGAATAAAAGCTCATCAGAACAGTTGCTACGAAAATATTTGTAGAAAAGACAGCGGGAAACCACTTCACGTCTGTGAGAAAGTGACTGAAATCGAAATATATAACCATATATGACCAGATATGGCATCAGTATTCAATGCACAGCCGAATGCTAGATTTGTAAATATGCATGATGGACACTGAAGAAAAATACCTTCTGGCACGTCACAATGAAACAACTTTCCTTGCAGTAGATGCAGCTATTGATTCAATGCAGTTGTTCCACTTCAAGTCAGTAGAAAATGTGACGCCAAGAAGGTGCAGTGAGACGCTCTCCTGGAGTCGCACATCAGCCATGCTGATGACAGGTAGGGAAGTTTATCTATAGTTGTTAAATGAAAGCAGTTTTGTTTTGGAGGCATTAAAATTTACAAGCCATTTCCCGCCCCAGTTAACCACTGATTGGAAGTCATTTTCAATAGCAGCAGCCAGGTTAACTTTGTCAACTCTGACATATTTGGTATTGAGACAAGAGTAAATGATAGTGTCATCTGAATAAATGCCTACTTGAGAACTAATGACATCAGGAAGATCATTGATGAAGATCAGAGGATAGGACCCAGGACAGAGCCTTGGAGGACATCTGCATTCATCTGAAAGGATCTGGAAGCGAGATTGTTCAGAACGACTTAGTAGGAATGAATGGATTAAATCAAACAATCTTATCAACGCATATAAAGCATATTTTATTCTGTTCAATTTTCTGATCTCTTATACTAACTTTGATGCTAAAACTGATCCATACACTGATACTTAAAGTGCTTAGTCTTTACTAATTCCACATCCTGGAATTTTAAAATGAATTGATGGTACGAGCCATCACAGTTTGTATTTTGGGAAGGCTTATCATGAATCTTATTTCTTGGAACTTGAGAGGGAGTGTTGATTCTTAACCCCACTATAAATATCTATGTCATCAGCATAGCCATCGTTATTATCAGTACCGGTGAGGGAAAGAAGCACCGCTGTTTTCTATTAGTAGATTCGTCTGGAATGTGGTATGGGGTGCTTAAAGGATCAGTGCCCATCTCTTCGCATCTGTGCTTGTATATGCGCAGCGTATAGTCTAGTAAAGGATTAAATAGATTAATGTTTAATCTTCAGAAAGTTTCGAAACACGCAATTATTGTCATCTTCAGTAAGATTTTCAGTTCTTTTGCAAAGTTTACGTATTTTTCAGCTTTTCTTTCCAATTAGCAGCTGGTTACTGGGAGAAAAACATCCATTATCTGACTGTTTTCTCTTTGTAATCAAGGAATAGATATGGTCGGCTGGCTTGGATTGGGCAATTTGGTCATTATTCTTATGCTTCTTCTTATTATTCACGAATACCTGGAGTATCAGACAAACAGTCGCACATACATATAGATATAAACACACGTATACACGCACGCACGTACTGAGCAGTCAGACTATCTCTCACCCGACCCCATATTGATCAAAATCAGCCTCCACAAAGCCACTGGTCTGCAAAAACACCGCATCAGTGAAATGTTCTGTTCAATCAAACTCGCGAATCAACTGGAGAACCTTTTTCGTCTTGCCATTGCCACTCATAAATATGTATCGAACTTAATTCAATCAGATAACCTCCCCTAGCCACTCCGCAACAACTAACTCCCTTCCCCTTCTTCTCCTCCACTCAACAAAAACCAGCGCCCCACCCCCGCTCGTTCCTTACTCTCACTCCATCTAATGTCCGAATCGCTCCGCCCTTTTTTTTTTACCGTCTTCCCCTTCTTCATTATCTTTTATCTCTTTCTCTCTTCCTACAATAAATTCTTTCTTCTTTTTCTTTCCCCCTTTATACTCCTCTCAAAATCTGTCTCTCTTTCTTTTTTTAATCATTTTCTACCAAGTTTTTTCTTATATAATTTTCTTTCTGTTTTTTCTTTCTTTCTTTTTTGAGAACTATTTTCATCGACTTTTTTCTTTTCATATATAATTGTCTTTTTCTTTTTTCTTCTTTTAAGTCTTCTTTTCTTTCTTTCTTTCTTTCTTTCTTCGAATCCTTTTCTACCAGGTTTTTCTCTTTATATAATTTTCATTTTTCCTTCTTTCTTTCTTTCTTTCTTTCTTTCTTTCTTTCTTTCTTTCAAACATTTTCCAGCAGGCTTTTTTCTTTATATAATTTTAATTTTTCTTTCTTTTTCTTTCTTTCTTTCTTTCTTTCTTTCTTTCTTTCTTTCTTTCTTTCTTTCTTCTGCTTCTTCCCCTTTCTTTCCTTGAATCATTGAAGTTGTTTCTCTTCCTTACATAATTTTCTTTCTTTCATTTTCTTTTTTTCCTTAAACTATTTTTCGTGTATTCTTTCTTCAACTTTTTTATGTCATTTTTCTCTTTTTTTCACCCACATTACTTATCTTTATCTTCACTCTCCCCCACCTCGTGATATTTTTATTGCTTTCCTTTCTTTTTCCTTTCCTTCTCCCTTTTTTCTCTCACCTTCTTTGCTTGCCTTTTCTTTCCTTTTCTTTTTCGTCTTGTTTCTCATTCCTCTTTTCTTCTTTCCTTAAAACGATTCTTTCTTACCACCTCCTCATCTCCATTTTTTCTCTCTTAGCCGTTCATCTGATGATCTCTTTGCTCTATCAGAATATCACATGGACAAAGACAGAATACTCTACCAAGCGTGATCAATTTAACTTCTCTCAGAGACTCAACAAACTTCCTTTTTGTTATTCTTTCTTTTTACCAATCCACAGAATCTGTTTGGTTCGTTTTCTGACTTTTGGGTTTTATTTAATTATATTTATACTATTTTTTTGTTATTTTTCTTCCTACGTTTTACATTTCAAATTCGGTTTTGATATACACTTCTTTTTTTTTTTTACAAATTGTAAAATCTTTCGTTCGATAAATATTTTTTTCTTTCCGATTTTTTCCTTCTTCATCTGATCTCTTGACTGTCACAAATTATCTGTTGAATTAACTCATTGGTAGTTGTCAGTGTTTCGCGCCGTTCGAGAAAAAAATGCCGGACTTGATGGACCACTTCCGGCATGAAAAACTTCATCTTAGATGGACCATTTCCGTCACAGAACGCATCGTCTCTTCCCGCAGACATTCAGTGTTACGCACCATTAACCAGTGCCCCGTAACAGCCTCACCTCCACACCATTTTTTGCTTGAATTCTAACTTCCTAAACTCACCCTCCGTTTTATCGATCTACAAAAGTCGCTCACTTAAACCCTCACCGCTTCCTTAAAGTGGCCCTGCAGTGAGGAGAAATGCCTGAGTTTTTAAGACCTTCCATGTGAATTTATCATGCCAATTGACTGTCGCCTTGAAAGATTATTCTTTTTCGGTCTGCCTTTTTTTCTGCAACCGCTGAATTGGAATCAACCACCGAAAAATTTCTTGAAGCATGATTTTCTGCTATTTGATAAACAAGGTTAGTCTTTTTATGATGGACTTCCAGACAGCGAGAAAAAAAAAACTACAATAAAACATATTTATTACGTTTAGTCAAAACTTAAAATGTATAGGGGTAAGCGGCTGTATCACGTTGAAATACTGGTTATCGTACGATCATTGAAGTTAGGCAACGTCGAGCCTGGTCAGTAACTAGATGGGTGACCATTTGCTCTAAGATGTGCGTGTGGCGTAATAGACAAAGGCTTGGAATTGAAATTTGGGGAGCCGAGTTCCAATTCCAGTTGGGTTCGTTATATTCACTTACGTGCGAATAACTCTAGGAAAGATATGAATCGATTTCTTTTGCCCCATCAGCTATGGGTTAAATAGTAGTACTTGTATCACTAAATCATTCTCAAAAAAAAGTAAATCAGTAAATCATTATCTTAAAAGCAAAAAGCATACAATCTAGAAAATATTTCTAGATTGTAAGATATTTTTGAGATAATGATTTACTGATACAAGTCCTGCTATTCAATCCATAGCTATTGGGAAGAGGAGTTGCATTCATAGATTTCTCAGGAGTATTTGCGCATAAGTGAATATAATAAACCTGAACGAACCTCCTTTTCCCCCCAACTAAGGGTTAAATCAGTCAGTTATGTGCCATGTGTGATACACGCTTAGGTGATCATGTATCTTTAGATACATGACTGACGACGCAGATTTTTTCCGGCAGTAGGTTGCCATTTTTTTCTGCAGTAGACCAATTGCCATCCAAGGCTATAGAACTCGGTCTGTCCTACTATTTGCCCATAGCTGGAGTGGGGAGATGAATAGAATTAATACCTTTGGTATACCAATAGTATACCAATGGTATTAGCACGTAAGTGAATGTAATGGATTCGACTGGAATTCCGATTACTCAATCCGAGCCGCTATCCATTGCTCCACCGGGGACTTGTTTCAGTAAATCATTATAATCTCCAAAATATTCTGGCTTTCTAAAAAGATTTGAAATAAGAAGCAAAAAGGTTGATAAGCCATAAAAAATAAATCATTCAATCCAAATGTGTAGTATTCCGTGAAAATTGAATTCACTATTGTAGTAAAGGTCATCGAGAGCACTAACCATTGCACCAAGTTGAGGTTCTAGTTTAGTACAGCATGCAGACATCAGTGTGAAGGATTCAGTTCGGATTTCACTGAACTTGTCTATGGATTAGCAAGAACAGACAGACTGAGTTTAAGACCGGTATTCTTCAATGAAGCTGTTCAATTGAAGGAGTCAAAAGACTTGCAGTTGTTTCATTAGAAGTACCAAAGTAAGTGTTGAATCTTTTTTAAAAAATTTACATGAAGAAACTGAATCATCTAAGTGTCCAGTGACTACTCTTTTGTAGCTATATAAACCTCAAGTAATCATTTATATCGAAAGATGGGATGTGAGTGCAAATTATTTTCGACTTCTTGAAAGGTGAACACGCGTAATAAAATGTAACAATAGGGTGCGTGCTAAAATATGGTAAAGCACCGAGGAGCAACTCAAAGACATGAAAGAATCGGTAGCGCAGGAGTTATTGGAGCGCAAAGTAAAAGCGGCGAGCCGGGTTCAAATTTCAACCAAGTCTTCGGTTTCACTTTCGAACTATATCCATTGGGAAAGGTATGAATCCATCTACCTTCACAATTAAAAAAAAAGAGTTCTAACATTTCTAATGAAAATAATAACAAAATGAAGCTATTTTTAATGGAAAAAACAGGGGAAAATTGCACACTGTCAAAAAATTAAGTCCCGGTGAAATATTATCAAAAGAAAACCATTAACGATAACCATCGAACTGTGCACAATTGCTTTTTATTATTTTTAATGTTATATCAGATGATCATGACTCTCCACAATTTCCTTTTCTTTATCTGTGAATTACTATGCATTTCTTGATTGATTGGTTCGTTTTCTACGGCTTATCAACCCTTTGCAGGCTATTTGAAATCAGAAAATATTTTTATAGTGTAAGAATTTTTTGAAAGGGGAGATAATTATGATTTAGTAATATTAGTCTTACTAATTAACCTGAAGATATGAATTTATATCTTTTTTTTATTTGAGTATAAGTAAATAAACGAACTCAACTGGAACTGGGCTCTTCGATTCCCAATTTCAAGCTATTATCCATTACAACATCTGCACATATAAGCTTACAGCACCTGGTATTCCCAAATGATCACTCATGTAGGTACTGAGTAGGCTCGACGTGGCTTAACTTCACTGATAGCAAGTGATACAGCCGTGCACATATGCATTCCTGGGAAACACATGTAAGTAGTTTCCCGTTACCTTCTCCACGATTTAGAATTCAGAATTTTCCTTCTCTTAGATTGGTTGTCACTTGACACTAGAGAGTTCAGTCGTGCTATTTAGCAGTCGTTTCCGGGTTGAGATCAAAGATATTCTTCTTCTAAACTCGCTGTCAACCATGCCTAGTTTGCTTTGCTATTTAGCTGATATTGTGCAAATTAATTGAAACAATCGCTTTAGTTTCCTGTCTTTGACCATTCGGTCAGTTTTAGACACACCTGAGTGACAGGGTGTAATCGATTTCTATTTTTTCCTCAGATTAGGTCATTTGCAGTCGTGTGCAGTAATATGAATCTATATTCAGGGTGTATGGCGAAATTTGTTTGGCCTTGAAAAATATTGCGTCATCCGTGATTGCATCAGATTTCATCACGCCCAAACACTGTTGTCTCGACTGTCCATTAGTTGTCCTACGGTCATTTTCTGCGATGGACGTTACTCAAAGGAAGCGTACGAAAATTATAACGCTGTACGAACACACTGGCAAGCAGTGAGCAAATGAAAGTAGTATAGATTGGCCCGGAAACTCTCCTGATTTACATCTAGTCGAGAATCTGTGGTCAATCTGCAAGGAACGACTTCGTGGAATGGACGTACGAAGTACAAACATGTGCACTGGGTCATGTTTCATTTGGGAAAATACGAAAAAAAAGTAAATAACAACGGAATTATTCGTTTTGTTTCAATTAATTTGCACAAGGGTGTATGTGAGGTGGAGAAAAATGTGGAATCAAAATTTTTCAAATTGGCTCAGACTGAATGAGAACTCGGATTGCCGGTTCCATTTTCCAAACTGTTAATCATTAACCTATCCGCACATCCCGAAGCAAAGACCAGTCTTGAATGTCTACAGCTAACTACGTCCAATCAGTTCACGATCACAAGATCCGTAATCCATTAGGGTCGTTAGTGCTGTACATGTAGCAGCAGTGGTTGCATCTAAGGCAGGATAGCCTGACGGAACCCATTCCTCTTCAAGTTGGTTTTGAATTACGATACTGTTGCCACCCAACGTTAGAGAGCTCAATCCTACTATTTAACCACTGTTGGTGAAAGGGGAGAACGGATTCATGCCTTTCCTAAGGGTATGTGTGAAAGTGAACGCAACTAGTCCGGATTTTGATTTCAGTCCCACATTCCACGCCAATATCTATTACTCTAACCACGCAATGTACACACAGTCATTTACGGAGTTTAATATACATATTTTACAAGAATGTTCAATTTGAGACATTTACTGGTGATCAGGTAAAACAGAAGAGTAACGGTAGAGACAGGGACGACAATTTGAAATTATTTAATTAACCATCATAAAATTCTGTATAAAATCTTTTATTTATATTTATTTTGCTTCATGTGTTTTTCCAATATTCACAACGATAAAGTCAAGTCAACGCTAATCAAAAATGAAAAGGCATCGACTTATAATCAAGATAATTTAAGACTGTTACCCAGTTAACAAAATTTGCTGCAATCATTCTGAAAGAGTTTGGGAAAACGTTTTTTGAATTC